AAATATTTGATATCAATAACTAGCGCCAAGTTTTAATTCCATAAGAATAGAATATCTTACTCAATTCCAACAATATGTTACGTAATTGTACCAAATAATCAAATTGAACCCAAGTAGTACTATTTAATTTAAAAAAATATAATTAATTGTAAATGATATTTAACTTTATAAAACTGCTATATCCAATTAAAAAGTAAAATCCAGTGGTACTGTCTTTAATTAAAAATAAAAATTGAGTTAACTTACTCGATTCAAGTGATATGCATTACTAAATGACACTAATTAACATTTTTACGAAATAAAAGGTTTCACCACAAAAAATTAAAAAGGTAACAACAGTACAAAATAAGAAAATTAATTTAAATACAATTTTTCATGTAAAAAAACTTGACGCTGCTAGACGAAATAAGGAAAACAACGAAATAGTTTAAATAATAATAAAATTATAAAAAACAATAAAAATAATAATAAATTTAATCTGAATGCGTACATCAAATCAAAATAAGGTTTTGTTATTAAAAAGACAATAATAGAGCTTCTTACATACAATCAAACGTATATACTTTATATTAATACTTTACATATAATCGTTTTTATAATGCACGCATTAATAATTTAAACTTCTGTTATAAGCTATTTAAATCATTTTTGCAACATAAAATGCATGCAAGAAATTGAAATTTATATCTTATAGTTTATACATAATTTTAATCCACACGCCTGTAATACTCGCTTGCACACATATACACATATGAAAGTCTAGCAGCGTCAAGTTTTTTTACATGAAAAATTGTATTTAAATTAATTTTTTCTTTTTGTACTGTTGTTACCTTTTTAATTTTTTGTGGTGAAACCTTTTATTTCGTAGAAATGTTAATTAGTGTCATTTAGTAAACATTAAAAATGTAAAAAAACCGCCAAGTACATTTTTAACGTTTTTACCTCGAAAAAAATTGTATCAGATTGAAAAAAATGAGATCTTTTTATCATCTTAAATATATTCATAATATGACTTCGAAAAAAAAACTGTTGTTAAATCATAAAAAAACCTAAGTGGCATTATCTTCAATTTATAACAATCACACAAAATTATTTTGTAATTAATATAC